ATCCCCACACATTGTTTATGCTTTTATTAAATCTTTTAATATTCTAAATGCTTTTAAACTTTAATTCTGTATTGTATATTTTATAGATTCCCCTACAACTTTCTTTTTTTGCTCAAACTATGATTGTTAGATTCATTGTACCAGTCCATATAGCTCTAGTTTATTATCTCAATAGTTTCATTTTTTTGTTTTGAGAATATACAACTATTCTGCTAATGGATATTCTGTTACTTTCCATATTTTTCCATTATAAACAATGTTTTTGAACAATTAGTGTTGTTTTTTTATTTTTTTAAAAACAACTATATTGAAATACAATTCATATAACATAAAATTAAACCTTTAAAGTGTATATACAATTCACTAGGTTTCAGAATATTCATAAAGCAGTGCAACCATCCTATCTAATTCCAAAACATTTTCATAATCCTCAAAAGAAATCCTATATTCATTAGCAATTAGTCCCTATTCTCTCCTTTCCCAGAACCTAATAACCATGAATCTATTTCTCACTGTGGGTTTTCATACTCTGGATATTTCATATAAATGGACTAACATAATACGTGGCATTTTGTTGCTGGATTCTTTACTTAACATAATGTTTTCAAGGTTCACCCATATTGTAGCATGTACATTAATTGGATTGTGGTGATGGTTTCTTGGGTGTATACTTTTGTCAAAACATATCAAATTATACAATTTAAATATATGCAATTTGGTGAAAAAGAGATGCTTTACCAAAGATATACAGATAGCAAATAAATGTTTGATAGATGTTCTAAATCATCAGTCATCAGAAAAAATGCAAGTTAAAACTATAATCAGTGCATATCTACTGGAATAGTCAAAATTAAATTACTAACAATGCTAAAAGCTGACGTGACTGTAGAATAACTGGGACTACTACTGATGAAAATGCAAAGCACTTTGGGAAATATTTGGTAATAGTTTATGAAATTAAACATATACTTATCATATAATCTAGCAGTTTCTCTCCTAGGTAATCATCTAGCAAAATAAAAATTTATGACACTTGGAGGACCTATAGATATTTATTTTGTGTTTTTTCAGATGCAGTTTTGCTATTTCAGCCTGGGCTTAAACTCACTATGTAATCTAGCCTGGCCTCTAATTTACTATGATCTGCCTGTCTCAGCCTCCTAAGTGCTGGGACTACCAGTGTATACCACTATGCCTGGTGGAAAAATTTTATAATAGTTTTACTTCTATATACATACATATATATATATATACACACACACACACACACACATATATACACATACATATACATATATATTATTCATTATTCACATATGAATATTACTCACATATAAAAAGGGGTAAATTACTGAATACACAGAAACCTAGATGAATCTTAAAAGTATCATACCAAGTGAAAGAAGCCAGATTGAAACAGCTGTGTTTTATATGATTCTGTGAACATAATATACACACACACACACACACACATATATACACATACATATACATATATATTATTCATTATTCACATATGAATATTACTCACATATAAAAAGGGGTAAATTACTGAATACACAGAAACCTAGATGAATCTTAAAAGTATCATACCAAGTGAAAGAAGCCAGATTGAAACAGCTGTGTTTTATATGATTCTGTGAACATAATATTCTCAAAATGCAACCCTACAGGGCAGATATCAGCAGTTGCTAGTGGTTTGATATGAACACAGAGAACTGACAGTAAAGGAGCATGAAAGAACTTTATAGAGTTAAAGAAATTACCGTGTCTTTTCATTGTGATAGTAGTTCTTGATATTTGTCAAAACTCAGAGAATAATATACATAAAAAAGGATGAATTTTATGCTGTGTTCATTATGTTTCCCAAAACATGACTTAAGAAAAGAAGGGGGAGGCAGTGCACATTGTCTATGTCAGAGAACAAAGAACCACCCAAAATATCTACTTAAAAATAACAGAAACCCCAACAAAATATAACCAGTTTGAAAAGAAAGCTTTCAGAAATGAAAGTTAAATAAAAACTCTTAAGCAAAGAAACACTGATAGAATCTTTTACCAAGAAGTATGTATTACAAGCAACATTAAAGGAAGTTCTTCAAACTTAAGTAAAATGATACAAACATGGGTTGGCAAAAAGAAATGAAGTGCCAGATACAGTAAGAAGTTGGCAAATAGAATTTACTCCCGTTTCTTAATTCCATTAAAACTACCTCACAAAGAAAAATCTAGGCTTAGATGGATGTATCATATCAGACATTTAGCAACAACAACAACAAAAATGCTACACTTTTTCAAGAAACACAAGAGAGAGCTGGGCAGGGTGGTGCACACCTGTAATACCAGTACTCGAGAGGCTGAGGCAGGAGGATTGCCATGAGTTCAAGGTCAGCCTGGGCTACATAATGAGTTCAAAGCCAGCCTGAACTACTACATAGTGATACCCTGTTTAAAAAAACAAAACAAAAACAACCTAAGATCACTTAAAGATGTCCAATACCATTGCTCTATTTTTAAAAACAGACAATCACAATAAAGCAAAAGTAAAGACCAATCTCCCTCATGAAAACTCAAAAAATACAGTTATAGAATCACATTAGAAGATATGAGAAATTACTACATACTATATTTATAGATGGGATGATTATTACAAAGATAAAAATTCATCTTACATTAATCTGTATTTTCAGTGCAATTCCTATATGAAACTCACAAGATTTCTCATGGCATTAAGCTGATCATAAAACTGAACAATTCACATGGATAACATGAGGGCCAAGAACACTAAGGCAAAAGAATAACAGTGTGGAGGATGAGTGAGCAGTTTACCTGATTGGATATTCAGTCATTTTTTAGATACAGTAACTTAAGACATTATGTTCGTATGTGCAGAGATTGAAAAGGAGAGAGACTACAAAGCTAAAAAATGGAGGCATACATATAGATAGGATGTTCATGACATTATCAATGACAAAATGATGTCTAGTTCAAGGATTGGTACTTTTTTTAGTAATGGATCAGATAGTAAATATTTTAGGCTTTGAAGCCCATACAATCTATCACAAACAATCAACTTGGACATTGTAGGAGAAAAGCAGCCATACATAATAACTTAACAAATGAGTGTGGCTATGTTCTGAGAACTTTATTTTGCAATCCTGCATCAGCCTCACAACTAGCTGGAATTACAGATATGCAGCACTGAGCTTAGCTTGGCCATCATTTTTTAAATGGCAAGAAAACAACAACACAAAATTATTTTAAAACACTTTTCACATTATACACAAACATAAATTTCAAGTGAACTACACAAATTCTAAGGTGAAAAACAATGCTGGACACAGTTCTACAGAAGAGCATTTATACTCAGAGCATACTAAAATTTCACAATTAAAATTTATATAGCACCACACCTGCCTTGCAAGCACAAGGTACTGAGTTCAATCCCCGGTGCCTAAAAAAAATTATATAAAACACCCCAAAATTAAAGAACATAAGATTTTCATGTTGATCAAGAAGTGTTTTACTTTTTATATTAATTCAAAAATATTCTGAATACGATACCTACTCATTTTTTATCTCTCTGTGCCCATATAGTACTCTTACCTCTGAATGATCTTACTATAACTTTAGGAAGCATTCAAGAACTTTTCTAATGCTCTGGAAAGAGTGTTCCAAAGAGTGTTAAACCTTCTCAATTGTCACCTTCCTCAGAATTACAAATCTTAAAACAATTCAGAAGTTAAATTATGGCTATTTTGTAAAATACTTGGTTCTGCTGCTTAATCGTTTTTATTAAAAAACAGAAGTAAACTGCTAGACCAAGACTGGGTTTCTAGGTACATCCATATTTCAGTAAGGAGTTTGAAACTGATCAAAATTTTGCATGTATGTATGTGTCATATTCTGGAGAAAAGCTCCAATTGTTTTTCTGGTTATTAAAGAAGATTGTGATCATCTCCTATGTCCAAACAAAAAGAAATATTTGTTCTGGAGGATAGGCATGAAGTTCTTTAAAACTGGAAAGAAAGAGTGGAACTTGGTGGCCCACGCCTGAGGCAGGAGGATCGCTGTGAGTTGGAGACTAGTGTTGGCTACATAGCAAGACCCTGTCTCTTATCAAACATACAAAAATTGGAAAAGATATTGAGGATTTTCATAGTCATCGACAGTGAAAAGCTATCTGTATTATAAATCTCCTGAAATGGTCAGGAATCTGAATAACTACTCAATTAAATGGTAGTGGGGAAGTGGAGTGTCATAATAGGTATAGATGCTAAAGGTTAGTGAAGATAGTTTTAAATAGTGGTTGTTTTGATGCTAAGGATCAGTTGGCAGAGTTTGCTTGTTCTCCAATAAACTATGCGGGCTTTATTGTTTTCCAACAGTCTGTACAAGCCAATACTATGACACAAATGTATTAATAGGATCTAAGGACAAAGTAATTACGTTTTCCACAGGAATCTATCAATAAATTGCACTCTTGGAGTGCTTTGTAAAGCGCTTTCACTTGCACCTTTTCACGTGACCTTCATTATGTGCCTCCTGAAAGGAGCTGGGCTGCAGCAGCCTTTCTTGCTAAGGAACGTTCTGGACTTGATTTCTGAGGTTGTTTGGGAGCCATTTTTCCAGGGTCAAATAGATGAGGAAAGTTTCAGACAGTGTTGGTGACGGAGAGGAGAATATAATATGAAGCAGATAGCGGCAAATGTAAACTGAGTGCTGTTTCAGGGCAGTGAGAGAGGCTGACAGAGCTATAGAAGGGGTGCGGGAACCGTGGACTGAGCTTTCCTTCAGGGGAAGGAAGGGAGTGGGGCTGGCTTGGCGGACGCGCTCAGGGTGTGCGGTAAAATCTCAGAGGCTGCGGGGAGGGGAACACAGGCCCTGCCTCAGGGGCTTGAGGCGGCTCGCCTGAAGTCCCCTTCTAGAGTTCTGTCCAACGCTACACCCCTCCAGCTCCCACAAACCTTTTTCAACATTCTCCCCGCACAGTCGCTCACCCCTGAGAAGCTGGCTTCAGCCACACCACGAACTCCACACGGTACCTCACGGATTTACGCTATAAACGCCACAAATTCAAAAACGCGCTTCAGAGCCCCGCCGTCTCGCCCGTCTCGCAGAGTGAAGGATACATGAGCCAATCGATGTCTGCCTGGCTCTAGAAGCCTAAAAGTAATGGGCGTGGGTAAAGTAAGAGGGCGGGACGATGGTGTGTTGCTAAGACGACGGCTTCCGGGCGGGCAGGTTGAGGTGACTTCCGACCGACGGGCGAGGGTCCACGAGAAACGCCTCCCTAAGTGGTCGTGGGAGTTCGGTGCTGCGGACGTTTTCCCGAATATCCTCGCACGCCACCAGCTCTATTTCCTTATTCCTCTTTCACCAAACCATTTACCTGTCCAGTTATAACGTGCAAGGTGTTTCCCTAAGGTAAGCGTGTGGCTATACCTCCTCGTTACACGAGAGTAGAGGAAACCCTGGAGTTCACACAACATGTTGTTTGTCGCACAGCATGTTGTGTTTGTCGCACAGTATGATGGTACTCTCTAAAAGAAAAATTGAAAAGTTGAATCTTTAAACGTTCAATACCTTCTTATGTGGGTTTTTGTAACCTCAGTATATGCATTTCTTAGCCTTTAAACATCGTGTGCAATTTGAGTTACAAAGGTCTGGTTCTTTCTAACCCAAAAAGCCCATCTAAATCAGGTAATGGACAAAAGACTTGAAATTCTTTTATTTTCTGTAACAGTCTCAAAAGTTCTCTGACTTAATTTCTTAAGAGCCTATGATCTAAAAGCAGATAGTGAAGTGCCCAGGGGTTTGGGCATAACCATTCCATGAATCAAAAGAATTCAGCCGAATTTCCCCCTTTCTTGAGGGAAATCATTTTAATCTAAATTTAACCTACATGTTAAACATGGTTCCTAACTCATTTAATGATCACAGTCTTGTCACTGGACAGGATCCAAAGAAGAGCCTGAGATCTCAACTCTCTCCCACTTAGTAGGTTCTTGACTCAAAGTCTTAGAAAAAGAATTTTAGGAGATGTGCAATTGAGACAGATAAGATTAATAAGTGAAATTAGCTGGTAATAAAGAATAGGAAAATATTGCAACTAGAGAAACTGGAGGGAGCACATTCTGATGCAGGGGTTCAGACTGGTTGGTTCACAAATAGCAGAGGCCAGTCTTTAAGGACTAGCTAAGATGAATCAGTGTTTGGTCAATCATTTTTAGTTCTGGTTTCCATAGGTCTGGAGCAATCCTATGACTTGAAGGGCAGTTGTGTTTACGTGAGATGATAGCTTCTGTTTGGGAAGGTGATCTCATCATGGAGTAGTCTGCAGGGAGTGCTCTGCTTTTCCTGGAAAGAGGGGTGATTACAGGTTTGGAGACTTCTAGGCATGGCTTCAGGAGGTTCTGGAACTGGATGTTGTAAAAATTGATAATCAGATGTCTCTGTAAGCCCTGAAAACTAGTTACTCCTATCTTGGTGTCTCCAGTCTTGAAGGGGGGAGGGATAGACCAGGTGAAATCAGGGCTAATAAACCTTGTTTTGCCATCTTTTCCTAAATGATTAACATTCTTACCTGCAGAGCTAAGTGGGAATTTGACCCAGAGTCTTAAGGTAATAAGGGAGACCAAAAGAAAAAAAAAATTTTCTTTAGTTTCCTGGTCTCCTTTTGACATCTTTATTTGTTCTACTTCAGTCTCACATGTCTATCCCATTTATGAAAGTAAATATTGTTGAACTGATAGTGGAGAAATAAAGCTATCTGCAAACAGGTAATTTGTAACTTTAAAATAAAATCTTATAGTTTAAAAATAGTCATCATTAAATTCTTCTCAACAAAATCTAGAACTTTGGTTAAACTTATCTGCTTATTAAGAAGAATTTCTTCCTCTAGAGTTAAGGTGCAGAGAAGCAGTTATAAAAGCTTAGAGCTATATGTGTTTAGGTTCCTGCCAACTCCTTTCTTAAAATTCCATCTTTAAAACTCCCTGCTAATGAGCACTTTTGCAGCAGCTTGGATGAAGCATTCTGAATAACTTTCCTCAGCCTGAAGGTTAGAAATTTCATTAAATAAAAAATTAAATACATTAGAATACTTAGATATGAAACATTAATGAACTCAGTAATACATTCTTAAGAAGAGGAGGCACTTAAAACACAGGCCACCTGCATTGTGGAACCATATAATGTGACAAGATTTGATAAATCAGCAAGGGATCACAAAATGCCCAGGATTTCAAAAGAGAATATTCCATGAACTACAAAGGCCATTTGAAAATGCACTTGATCTTAGCCAAAAGGCCAAGAAGCAATAGGCCATTTGAAAATGAACCAGCTCAGCAGACCAAGAGGCTTTAACAATGGACCGGTCTAGCCTTTGGATGTCAGTATTATACTAAACAATGCCTGTTAAATTTTTGTTTATGTGGTGGAGGAAAAAAAGCCAAAATTTTATGAGTTAGGCCATTAATTTAAAAATGCATAGTGAGTTCAGAGTTTAGAAAGCGGAGAAAGGACTATACCTATGATCCCAGCTGCTTGGGAGGCTGAAGCAGAAAGATCACAAGTTTAAAGCCAACTTGGGTAACTTAGTGAGACCCTGTCTCAAAATTTTAAAAAAAAAAGATAAGCGAGTCATTTGTAGGATAATGGATGTACTTTGAGACTATAATGTTAAACAAAATAAATCAGACACACAAGTTTAAATATTGCACGGTTTACCCAAAGTATAAATAAATTAGAGAGCAAAATAAAAGATAGACAGTAGGAAGTAGAGAGATAAATCTTTTGCATATGAAAAGAGGACCGAAAAATGGAGGAAAAGGAAAAGGGATGTAAAAAGAATTAAGATGTGTTATGTACATGATGAATGGAAGTAATTATTATGTACATGGACTAATAAAAATTGAAAAAAAGGCTGAGACGGTAGTTGAGTGGTAAAGCACCCCAGGTTCAATCCACAATACTAATAGTTATAAAACCCTATAATCATATATTTACTTTTGTACACATTTTCTCCTGGATATCTCCTCCCCTATACCTGGTTGAATCTTGTTTCTCCTTCAAGAACAAGTTCACATCCTCATTCTTTTGTGATCTAGCCTATACACAACTCTCTCCTCCTGATAATTATACAATGTAAAATGTAAGCCAGGCATGGTGGTGCAGTAATCCCAGAACTCAGGAGGCTGAGGCAGGAGGATCACCACGAGTCCAAGGCTAGTCTGGACAACATAGTGAGACCCTGTCTGAGGCTAGTCTGGACTACATAGTGACATCCTGTCTCAAAAGAAAAACAAAAACAAAACTCTTTGTCACTTTTGCTTTTTACCATATAATGTTTATAATTTATGTTTACAAATATTTCTTACATAAAATTTGCCTCAGTAAATTCTAAGTGACTAAATTCTACCATACTTAGAACTGTATTCACTACTGTATCTGACAAAATACCTTGAACATAATAAATAAGTTTTGATGTAAAAATGCCTATTTTAGATTAATGTTAAGTGTTTTGTATTATTGTGTTAGGTTTTTCATAACAAAATATCACAGACTGGCTTATATTTTCTCACAGTCCTGTAGGCTAGAGGTCCATGATTAAGAAATAGGGTTGGTTTCTTTCTGTGGCCTCTCTTCTTGGCTTATAGATGGCTGTTTTATTCCTCTGTCTTCTCAGCGTTTTTCCTCTTTGTATGTACATATATTTGTGCAAAGTTGCTTTTTTATAGGGATATCAGTTTTAACTAGAGTACAACCTGCCTTAAAGACCTTGTTTTAATTTAATCATTACTTTAAAAACATTATTTCATTTATTTCTTACTTTATATTGAGTTTTTCATGCAAGAGAAACCATGCAATATCTAAATAAAAGACAGATAATAGAAAAATGAGAAAGGAAAAAAAGATATTGTAATCCAGTGCTGACAGTGTACCTAAAAACGTATCTTAACTTAGTACAGTTGTCTTATGTGTTTTTTATGTTCTTTGGCCTATAAATCTGGCCTTGAATCTTATATATGTTAATTAACCTTATAAGGTCTTATAAGATACATAAATGAATATGATACTGGAAAAATAAAGAGATAAAGCACGGGGAGAAGGGAATTGAAATGTGCTATGTATGTGTCCCAATTCCCTGCAGTGGATGTAATCATTATGTACTGCAAACATCTGCTAATAAAAGTAAAAAAAATAAAAACATTCTTTCCAAATATTTACTTTCTGAGGTACTAGAGATCAGGACTTCAGCATATAAATGTGGGAGGAAGGCACACTTTGAAGCTCATAGGAGTAACACTCAAAAAGCAGAAAAGTTTGGTAGAAATTATCTGGCACTTAAGAATTCTTATCTTAGAGCTTGGGGGATAGTTCAGTGGTAGAGTGCTTGCTAAGCATGCATAAGCTCTATGTTCAGTCCCCACCACTACGAAAGACAAAAATCTCATTAGACTTCTAGATGACATAAATATAGAAATCAGGTTAATATAAGATAACAGGGAGTAATAAGGCCTGTAGTAAATCAGAGTCTACCTATCTGAACAAAAGATATTCAAATTAAAACTTGGAAGCAACTATCTCTCCTTACTCCCTTGGTTGGCTGCTTTTGACTCACAGGGTACCAATTTGCAAAAATCATCACCATGTTACTTCATTTGGAATCATAACCTTTCATAGTAGATTCTGGACATGTTTTCAAATATTGAAAGACATACTTCCCAGACCCTGTTGGTTCACACGATACTTTTTAGTTGAGTATCTGCTGTGTTGATGGAACTATACTAAATATATACTGAGATCTAGACCCATTAATTTGGCTGTAATTATCCAAGAATTACAAGGACATTCTATTTTTGAGTAATTTATAAAGTGCAAAACAACAGTAGTTTCCCCTTATCCATGGTTTTGTTTTCTACAGTTTTATTTACCCACGGTCAGTGACAGCCCAAAAATATTAAATGAAAGATTCCTAAAATAAATAATTTATAAGTTTTAAATTGCACTCTGTTCTGAGTAGCATGATGAAATCTTGTTCTAATCTATCCCACAGAGGATGTGAATCATCCCTTTGTCTAGGATATCTATACTGTGTTCTGTACACCTACCTGTTAGTCATTTAGTAGCAGTCTCATTTATCAGATCCATCATTCTATTACGGCAACTCTTACATTTAAGTACCCTTTATTTTACTCGATAATGATCCAAAGCACCAACTTTTATAATGATATATTGTTAAAATTGTTCTATTTCATTATTATTCTTGTTAATCTCTTACCTTTCTCATTTTATAAATTAAACTTCACCATAGGCATGTATGCATAGAAAAAAAACCATAGCTTATATAGAATGTAATATCATCCATGTATGATTTAGGTATCTGCTGGGGAACTTGGAACATAACCCTGGTGGATAATGAG